GTCAAATACAAAAAGAAAGTATGATAAATGTATCATATTTTTCTTCATTTGGAATTTTGAATATTATTTTACAAAAACCTTATTCCTCTATGTGCATTATCATTTCTCAGATTAGTAATTTATAATCTTATAGATTATTTGTTTTAATCTTCCCTGCTTTATAACTTCCAGCAAACTGAATTTGAAAGGTTTCATACAAACAACTGACGTCTTGGACTGATACTTTTTAGTAAAAGCAAAACCAAAAATTATTTTGTAAAAAAGAAGAAAGTTAATAATTTTCCTGTCCTCACTGAAAGCATCCAGACAAACCTGATTTTTATTACTTTTCATGGTGTCGTATGTGCATTTTATAACCTCTTGTGAAAAGACGGTAATATTTACCACACAGGTCAGCTAGAGTCAGAGCTGTGATAAGAAAAAAAAAGAACAAAGTCAATAAAAATGAAGCTGAACTCTGAGACTGAAACTGCACAGTTAGGGACAAGGATGACTGGGTCTTTTAATGGTTCTGCAGTTTTACTGGGAACTAACAGGATGACAACATGCTCTGGTTAAGGTTGGCGTCAGGTTAAATGATGCTTAAGGAGCACATTCAGACAGTTTACAGCTTTTAGCATTAAATTAATGTTTAGATAAAACACTTATTCCACTGAGGCAGAAATGAGCTCAAAACCTTCTCATCTTTATTTGTAATGCAACATGGTTTTACTGCACAAAAATGCTGTTTAGGAAAAAAAGTACTGATAAATGAGCTCATGTGATACTTGAACTGAAACTCTGCTTTACAAGCTTTCAAAGATTGATATATTTAAAGAAGATTAGAACTTGTCTTTTTTTTTCTTTTTTTCTGTCAGGTTAATGTTCAACCAAAGCCATGGTATTCAGCCCATGTTTGGGCTCACATGGGTTTTCAGCCCCATTGATTTTCTGATGAGAAGTCTTAACACAACGTTAAACAGGACCAATAAGGAAGTGTGAAATGTTTAATCGGTTTTATCTTGCCCATAACATGCTGTGGATTGGATCGCTATTGCACAGAGACGGATATGTATGGCAAGCCATTTAGCATATAATCGGTTTCGTCTGACTATCTGTAATTACATTCTAGATRTCTAAAAATGAGTTTYGACTAGGAATAACTACATTTTGACTATCCAGAATGTTTGTATTAACATTCTGACTAGTCATAATTCAAGATATCTTAAAAGGAATTTTGACTAGTCAAAATGTAATTAGAGATATCTTAAATAACAAATATGACTAGTCATAATTCAATTTCAGATATCTGGAATGGAAGTGTCGTGAATCCGATTATATGCTAAAATGGCTTGCCACTGGGAGCGCGTGACATAGATGAGGGGGCGGGGCCACCGCGCTGCCTTCAGATGAGCTGATCACCAGCACCTGTTATCTATTCTTTATTTGCCTGTTTACAGGTTGGTACTGAAGAAATGCTCCGTCGTTGTTGTGGTGTTGTTGACCCATGTTGTGATTCTGTTTGATCATCTGTTTCGTTTTTATTTTAAATGTTTTATAAACAAAACTTTAGGTTAAAAAGTTTGCCATCCGATAGTTGGCTGATGTGGGCATTTAACTTCTGCAACAGTTAGCTGACATCATTTTTTAGCTAACCGGGTCCATTTTAATACTATTAATTCAAGTTAGCTTAGCTTCTTGAGCTCCCAGACACTGACTGGTTTGTTTAATCAACTCTTAAAAGTAAATATCAGTTCTCTCACTTCGTTTCTTTTTCATTGAAATGAAATTGATATAAGAAATGATTATCAATTAAGTATAAAACGTGTAAATATGTTGAGTAACTGTTTTGATAATATCGTTATCCTGTAGCATTACATTAGAAAACTATTAAGAGATGACATAATTATATTTTCTGTTTGGTGAGATTGTTTGCATCTTAATCGTATTAAAAAGGTAACAGTGCCTGCTGTTTTATGTGTAATTTTGTTATTTTAAAATGTTTCAAAAATGTATTTATTTTCTTTGAGTTTATTCTTAGACTTTCAGTCAAGTGTTTTCTTGGCCAATTACAAGTAGCCTACAATAAAAACAAAACAAAACAATGGAATTACCATATTTATGAACCATCTAGCATAGTGGTCCATTATCATTTCCGTAAAGATGAAAATGTAAATGTACTAATGTCACTTTAATGCACAGTCTGTTAAAGTATATTGAGAGAGGGAAAAAAGCAAAGTATTAGATATTTTGATATTACTGTATGTCAATAAATAAAAGATGCGCTTCAGATGAGGAGCTGATCACCAGCAACCTGTCATCTCAGTCTTTATTTGCCTGTTTACACGTGGATTATCTTTATTGCTGTGGTATCATTCTTGGGACCTGTAATAATGCTTTATTTGTTCTTTTCAACAGTGTCAGGGGAATCATAAAAAGCCAAGATGTGTTGTTCCGGATTTCTCAAAATTATGATGTTCGTCTTCAACGGCGCCATCTTTGTAAGTTGGACAAACAAAAAAGTTACACTACCTCTTTGTTTCCGCTGTCCATTTTTATTTTTTTTTTTCGTGGAGATAGTTTGAGGAACAGACCAGAGAGAAACAAAACAATTCCTCACAGGTGAAATGCTCCCTCCTGGTCAGGAGGAGTTTATGTATCTGAAAGTTTTGTCTATAAGAGTTATTTATACGATAGAGCAGGGGATGGATATATAGAATCCAGAGATGTAGCAACTAAGTACATTTACTTTGTTACAGTACTTTAGTTTTTTTTTATTTTACTTTTTGAGGATTTGTAATTGTAGCAAGTTTTTTTATTGTAACTAATACATGTATTTTGTTACATTCAAAAAGTAAAAATGATACATTTATATTTTTACATTAAAATTACCACCTACTCATTACAAATTTAAATATGACCAAACTCCTCAACAAAGGAGTTGTTTATGCACTCCAAAAAAWAAAGTGTTGACTTTACTTAACCAAGTGATGTCAACTGGTCCCACTGAAGCGAGGTGAGTTTGGTTAAGTAAATTCAACACATTATGTTTTAGAACGTGTGTAAAAGTACTCTTAATTTCCCGATTACTGTGAGCAGATTTATTAGGAAAGTACATTTCTTATCGGTGAAAATCAAGATATTTTTACTTTTGTTGGGATCTAATCTGAGGTAATCCAGCTGCTGCATGATAACTGGTTCAGGCATCTGACAGAATGCCTTCTSTGCAGCTTTCTCTGGAGGTTTGCCAGTCATGTCCCACTAAGAGTTAGACCCAGAACTCACTGGAGGGATTATATACATCGTCTCTGGCCTGGGAACATSTTGAGATSCCCCAGGAGGAGCTACAGAGTTTCACTGGAGASAGAGGAATGTCTGGGTTTCCCTTCTGGATCTGTGGTCTTTGCTCCTCTGATAAGCAGCAGAAAATGAAGGAGCAGGTCTTCCGCTGTATGGGAAGTGTGGGGGRCTTTCTTGCTGCTTTAAGTTTAGAATATCAAAAAACACTTTATTAAATTTTAAACTAATCAAATGTAAATTGAGGATAAAAWAAAGTCAGCTGTGTTCAGATGAAGCAAAGTTGGTAATGCCTTCAGCTAACATTAGGAAATGACTCGGTGGCCGTTTGAACATCCTGACAGGAGGAAGATTTTCTCACAGTCAGTTGATGAGATTAAATGACTTTTAAATTCCTTTCAATTACTATATCTTGTATCAAGACCTTAAATACAGGTCTGTAAAAATAATTTAAAATAATAATAATAAAAGTTATTCTTTTGGTCTTGTATTTGATGAATCAGAGCAATAATCACTAATAAACAATATTCTGTTTACATCCTGTGAGCTTGTAGTTTTGGATATTGAACCTCTAAGTAAATCCTGTCTTTTTACAGTCACATTGAAAAATATATATATTTTTTTTCTCATCTCATGTTTCTGATTTATTTATTTATTTTTCTCGTGGTGCAGCTGGCAGGTGCAGCCATCCTGGGTGTTGGTGTGTGGGTGGAGGTGGACAGCGGCTCCTTGCTGGGTTTACTGGAAACCGTGGAAGACGCTCCGGATGAGTTGTCCCAACTGGCTAATGTCAGCTATCTGCTCATGGGCGCTGGTGCCGTGCTTTTGGTCATCGGCTTTCTGGGCTGCTGTGGAGCYGTCAGGGAGAGCAGGTGCATGCTGATGATGGTGGGTAAAGTTGGTTTTCAGCATTTGTTGTCACAGGAAATAAAAAGGTATAAAACTGGACCTTTTAGAGGATAACAAGTTTTTTACAGATTTTTTTTGTTTGTTTTCAAGTGAGACTCTGTGGATGTTATGTTCAAGTGTTTCACATTGAGACATTTCTAATATGATTTATTTTTTCTTTCCTTCAGTTCTTCATCATTGTGCTGATAATTTTCCTCGTCGAGGTTGCAGGAGCCATAGTGCTGTTTGTCTTCCAGGGCTTGGTGAGTAGGCCTACATGCATAAACTGAGTTACATGTTTTAAAAGCTGTTAAACTTTGTATGARTTAAGATGTCTGATGTGTTTTTGATCTCAGACTGATCAGCTTTTAATGGATGTGGAGATCCAAGTCATTAAAGAAATTCGAGTGAAGTACGGAGAGGACGAGAAGATGACATCTCGCTGGAACGCCACCATGAAAGAGGTACAGAGTTGATTCATCTTTGTAAAATATCACTCTCAGAAAATCCAGATATATTACAGACAGAGCTTAAAAATGGTGTGGTAGTAGTTGAGAGTACTTTGCTGTAAACTTGGTCACAGGTGATGTGCCTTCCTTTAAAGAATATTGGGTCAAATTAGAAATATGTTGCTCTGAGTGACGTCTGAAATTAACGTTTTCTGATTTGTTTTTTAGTTCAAGTGCTGCGGATACAAAAACTACACCGATTTTGACGGCTCTCCCTTTCTGGATCAATATAAGAGTTATCCCGACACTTGCTGCTTCCAAAACGTCACTACCTGTACGGAAAATAATGCAGGAGCATCGGTATGAGACCAGTTTGTGTTTTGTCTAAAACTCCACGCTTTAATCCAGAGAGCAACGTCCTTCTGCTCTGTCCTAACTTTAATGTTGTTCTTTTTTCTGCTGCAGAATATTGGAGGCTGCTTTCAGAAATTCATGGACCTGATAGAGGAGAACACTGTGATCATTGCAGCTGTGGCTCTTGGAATAGCTGCTGTGGAGGTAAAACTTTGGACAGAGTTAGAGTCTTAAAACTGTCACTTTTTTTGTGATTTTGTCACATTCTGTGGCCTATCAAAATCAGGCCTTCTCTAACCCTTTGGTTAGAGAAGGCCTGGTTTTGATAGGCCAGACATGCCCCMCACACACACACACACACTGGAACAAACTCATGTGGGTATGTAGCTTTTTAATATTTCTAAACAGAATCCTCTCAAAAGAAATAACACCTAAAGGATCCAGTTAAAGTTATTTTTATTTAAGCCTATATTTTTCTAAGTCACAGTGAGGCAGACCAAGTGAACAGGTAATGGCAGCATGTGTGTGTGTGTGTGTGTGTGTGTGTGTGTGTGTGTGTGTGTGTGTGTGTGTG